AAAAATTCGGACATTTTTTTATGAAACACGGATAGGCATAGAAACCTATAGAAATTCGGATAATTTTTAAAGTTATATGCATCCCAGCAGACTGGACACCCAGACTGCCTGGCTGAGGGGCAACTATTATGAACTCATATGTGAGGCTCATTTATTATATGGCCTAATAAGGGGCAATCCAAATAAAATATGATATAATCAGAGGAGGATATCTATCAAAGATATCAATCTTAATACGAGAGCATTAAACATGGGCTTGAACTGTTGGAAGAGGCATAGAAGGTCTAGAATCCTAATACTCACAGGTAAACTCTATAAATAAGAGGTAAAGCCTATAAGTATGATTACTCTCTCTATTACTATTATGTTGTCACTGTACATACATATCACCCTTTTGGCAAACGCTGTTCTTTTTATTGCTTGTGCATAGTAATTTTCCATACTCAAGAGTATCTAATCCATAAATACCTTAGAGAGCACTTAGATTCAAAAGAAAATCAATAATTCATTGGGTTAGACATCTCTGTCTTTATGACAAAATACTTCTTATTTTTGAAAAAAGAGCACAAACACCGAAAGCACAAAAAATGAGCTCCCGAATTGGAAGCTCTAATGGATTAGCCGCTACCATTTTCGTGGCAGAAGACTCACAACTAGGGGTGTTAACGGGTCGAGCCGAGCCGAGCTTTGGTCTTAAAAGGCTAAGCATGTGTTTAAATGTGTCAGCCTAACCAAACATGTTACCTGTTATGAATATAATTATCGGCATGTGACCTGATTTATTTATAAAAAATAATAGCCTTGTTTAGCCTGTTGGCCTGTTTAAAAGATATAAGACAATAAAAATTTATCCAAACATAATCTGCAGTCAACAACACTAATAATTTCATAAATATTCATAAATTTATCTAAACAATAATATAGAACAAAATCATTCAAAAAATTTGTTTAACCAATAAAATAAGGTGAAATGGATTGAGCAGAGAGATAGGGCTACTAAAAATAGTATAAAAATATAAAATAAAAATAAAAATAAATATACTAGGCCAGCCTGGGAGGTTCTAAGGCCGAGCTTTTGAATTGGAGCCTGTGGCCTTTTTATTAAACGAGCTTTAATAAAAGTCCAAGCCTGCTTCCAACAACCAATTTTAGACATGTAAGCCCAGGCTTTCACGAGCCGAGCCAAAGGCCCCTGGTTTGTTTAGCACCCCTACTCACAACCATTAGTTGTAGTGGCTGGGTGATGGGCTAACTCAAGGAGAACCATATGTGTATCATGCACTTATAATATAGAGTAAATATCCCTTTTTGGTCCTCAGCAAATTTCACGATGCCCGCTTTAGTCCCTAGCAAATAAAAAGGCTATTCGTGGTCCCTAAGAAATTCAAAATAGATCCATTTAGTTGAAATCGTGGTCCCTCACAAATTCAAAAAAGACCCACATTAACCCATCAAAAGGACTAAAATAGGTCCACCTTGAATTTCTTAGAGACCACGAATAGCCTTTTTATTTGCTAGGGACTAAAGGGGGCATCGTAAAATTTGTTGAGGACCGAAAGTAGTATTTACTCTTTAATATATGTTGATTCAAAAGTGTAATGTGAGAACTTAATGTGTCTCACATGTCTGATACAATTAATTCAATTCAAAAATTTAAATTTATAAATAATCACTAATACGGGGTGGTGAAGTTATACCAAATAATAATACTGGTGGTGAAATTATACCAAATAATACATCAATTCGATTCAATAATTAAAATTTATAAGTAATGACGATATTAATAATTTTTATAAAAGATATATCCCAACTCTTAAATCTTAATGAGCGAAGCGGGTGTGAAGACCTGACCGACAAAATGTTGCTATGAATACATGACAACCTTAGTCGTGCCATCCAAATCAAAAAGACCACACTGATTTTATTTTATTTATTTATTTATTTATTTTTGATGATAATCCAACTCTAATAATTATCTCTTTTAGACGAGTTGGTTCTCTTTAATATTTTTACAAATTTTAATTCTTTGAGTTCACTTAGATTAATCCAAAATATAAAACGGATCAATTATAAAAATATTTAACTCTCTCCCAAAACGTAAAATATAAGACCACACTGATTCTATAAAGCAGTGCATCTGCAACTGCGACCGCTATACGCCAATGATGGTACAAACCTACCAGATAAGCTATGGTCCATACACAACCTGCGTTATTGATTACCACATCACTAAATTCCAAAGTTATTGAAAGCCACGATTCTTCTTTATACACATCAATTTCGTCCAAGTGACAAATGCACACAGCGAATTGTTTCATAATTTTTTTAGATTTCTTCACAGCTTCCCGCGATTATACCATTAAACTAAGGGTTATCTTTATCTCATTTAACATGAGATAAATTAAATTCTTACACACATATAACAAAGATGACCTCTATTTTTTTTCTCTAATTATTTGTGAGTCTCTCTTATAATTTTATTTTACTAACATAAGATAACCTATCTCCAATAACATAAGAAAAACATTTCCCTTAAACTAATTCGTATTAGAATTATATCGATGACAAAGCTTTATAAAAATTTTAATATAATTATTTATAGACTTAAATTTATAATGTTTTGAATGTAAAATAAAATTTCAAAACTTCTAAATTAATGACTAAAATATAAATTCAATATCTTAAATTGTTAATATAGAAATAATGATATGAATTGTTATTAATTTTTTTATGATTAATTAAATTTATTTTTAAGCTTTTTGGTGTTGTAGATAATTGAAAAGATATGTAATTACAAATATCATGATTGTTGAAAAAAAAAAAAAAAAATTAAATCTCATTCAAAAGATTTGGCACATGAACCTCCCCTCAAAAAAGCAGAAGCTCAATTCTAATGCATAGACATCAATTGCCGTCTTTTTTTTTTTTTTTGATGAGGAATTGCCGTCTTTATAAATACTACATTTATGACTTTCTAAAGAACTTTTCACGAAGATTAATCTGGGATTTGGCCGTCTTTGTTTTTGTTATGAAGAGCTAATTTTTTTTAATTAGAGTTATATGGAATCCAATTGAATTTTTATATTTCTGAATTAATTTTTAATATAATTTTTCTTTTTTATATTGAATGAATTTGCGTGTTCTTCATATTTCTAAGAGTCAACTTTCTTGTAGACTGATCTAGGATTCATGTATGACAATATGGATGTTGGTATATAAATTGGGACTGATAAATTCATCATTGATTTGTATGAATCTAGAAATAGACATATAAATCATGCAATCCTTATAATTCTTATTTTTAATACTTAAATCCTTTTGAAAATCATCATAGAATTACGATTCTCTTAAAGGAGTAAATGATAGAATACCAAGAAATTGAATTTTAATAAGGAATTGAGTTTTAACTAAATTATATTAATTGATTGAGAATATAAAAATGGAGATTAATTAATTAAGATTTTTAATTCATAATATAAAAAAAAATTAAGGAAAATTAAATTCCTAATACGTTTTTCTTTTTTCTTGATTGCTTGATTAATTTTTAATTGTGTATCGACAATATGATCCTGAAGTTAGATACGTGTAAATTGTTTCCTACTTTAGCAAATTGGTAAATGTGCCGGACAAAGGTGTAAATAAGCAACCTACGAAAAATATTTTGAGCTTAACTTAGCTCATTAACATGATACAAACTAAATTTTAGGTTTGACTTCACTTGTTTATGAAAAATTAAAGATTTGACTTAGGCTTGGTTTGACTTATTATAATTATAAAATGTATTTTTTCTAAACTCATATACGTCCAAATGTTGAAACTATAAATGTATCAAATTTTATAAGCGACCGAGGGGGGAAATGAGTGACCAGCAATTAGAGAACTTGTTTGTGAAACTGTGACCGTGAGAGAATGCCAATAAACAATAGTAAAAAAATAGTGTTTAAAAAAGTAGGGTTAATAATTTAGTGACATAAAAATATATTATTCATTGAAAAAATATTTATCCTTTTAAAAGATGGTCATTTTAGTTAAAATGAGTGTTTATTATTTAATATTTAGATTAAAAAAATCTTTCACTTTCTGTCCCTTGATTTCTATTGTGCATATCTTTCTCTCGGTATAAAACACGATAATTTGACTAAAATGATACAATTCTATATCCTTTAAAATACAAACAGAAATCTTATTATTTATTATAATAATATATCCGGTTAGCTTATGAATTTTCAAGCCGAACCTCATTAAATTAGGCTTAGACTTTTTGCTAAATAGGTTTTTTTAGAACTTGAATCCGTTCTATTTATTAAACAAACCAAGCCAAGCCAAGTTTAAAGCAAACTAAGCTTTGAGTCCCTCACAAGTTACTCGGCCTATTAACATCCATATAATACACCAATTCTTCGTTTATTCTAAATTTTAAAGATTGATATATTTTAACTTAAAATTTAGTTTGAAATATTTTTTTTATCATATTCCACAACCTTATACATTCAAATTATTATCTGAATATTTATAATAAATTACTATCTAATTTAATTATTCTGATATCGTACTCATCATAAGGTTTTTTTGTTACTCGTTCATTGATTATTCAATTAATCAAATTTGAGTTCCGTACGACTAAATACGTTACTCGTCACAAGTTACCCATTCACCATTTGACACATGTATTGTACGTCACACGGTCCCAGTCATTGTCGAGTGCTGACTTAAACTTCTACATTCTAAACGACTCTTTGCTATTTTTTGAAGGACCCTACTGAAATGGAAACCCTTTATAAGTTGCTAAAAAGTTATCAACTTCATATTGTCTGAAATTGCATTGTTTTATAAGATAAGGAAAAAAAAAAAATTACTACACACCACTTTTCTTACATTATTTTTAAGTAATCAAATATTAATTTATTGAATAATAAAAATCGACATTACTAATTATAAATTTATATATCATTAATATCAATTAGTAGATAAATATAATATAAAAATTATTAATATAGCTACATCTAATAATTTAATTTTTTGGGTTGAATATGAAAAATATATAGTTTTTGCCCGCTACAGTTTCATTTGACCCTTGGATTGTGGATGTTATTACAAAACAACCTGGTGTGGTGACCTTTATTCGACGATGTTTGCGTCTAAAACCTAAACTCGTTCGCTGGTAGAATCTGAAACAGTCTTTTGTATCGTTTGCCTTGTCTCTGTCTCAGAAACTCTCTCTGCTTTCCTTGTGGAATAGACCTCGAAGAATTCCTTGTTTTCTTTCTCTAACTCCTTCCACACTACTCCAAGGTCCACACCACATGCATGCAACACATGTAAGCTTTTTAGATTTCAAGAAAAATAAAATTATATGACAAAGAAATGATAATATGATGTATGTACATTCCAATTCCAAAGTTTGGAAATGTGTGATTGACATGTGTTACTGATCAATATATAGCTGTGTAATTGACGCACCAAGAGGTTGTGTGTACTAGCTACAATATAATGGAATAATTTAATCGAGTTTTTAATTGAATTTAATTTTTTTTTATATACCAACCAGGATCCAAAATCCTAACATGTCTGATTAATTCAATTTTGAATTTGAGTTTTTTAATTATCCCATAAGTTACGATTCTCAGAAAAAAGTTTAATAAATTTAATGTTCATATAGAAAAGAATAAGAGTGAAAAAAGATTAAATGACTGACCAGTGGCGGTAATAACCGGTTTGATATTTGCATGTTTGGAAAGAGCTTCCATGCATTCCTCTTTACTCATGTTGAATAAGATACACTCCTCTATCAAACGGTGCACCTAGGCATTTATATATAACAACAACAAAAAATAGAACTTAAATATCATTACCATTGATTATCACAAAAGGGACATATATATTAACGTACAAGTATATATTACACACAAATGAGATCGAGGGTATAAAAAATCAAGCAAATTAAAACACACCATGTGGATATAAGCAGCGGAGGAGGAATCTTCCATGATCTTGAATATTCTATATGTTGAGTGACACAACAATCAGAAGTGGTGTTGCTTTCCTTCTCTCCGATCTGATGAGTTAGTGTATGCCTCAAACTCAAAGATATTAGAAAAGGGTGAAGATAGATATGCTTGATTTGGAAGCAAAAAAGGGGGCTAGAATTGAAGAGAGAAAAGACCAGAAAAGATGACGAGAAAGAGGAAGGGACAGGCATACATATTTGAAAGAAAAAACCACACGAAGAAAGATAATGAAATAATGGTTGCATTTATAGGGTAGTAGCCCCTTCGACATATGGCTAGATTGCTAGTAAAAAACAAAACTTAAGAGGAGGAGCTAGTCAAAACAATAATCTTACTATATACATTTTTTTTAGTTTTATTCTGAGGATTGCTCTTAGAGTACAGCTAGTTAAGAAATGTTAACCTTTTAATTACTTAAAAAATGTCTAATTAATACTTTCTTTTTAAAAAAAATTTGTACAAAATTATATAAATAATATTATTGAATTAAAGAAGCTCACAAGTAGAGCCGACAAAACGGGCTCGGCTTGGCCGACCAACTCGCCCAACCCGCCAAACGGGATGGGACGAGCTGAGTTTTTCAACCCATCTCAAAAACGGAGCGGGGCAGACTCATTTTTTGACGGGTTGATGGCGGGCATAGCCGACCCGAGGCCGGTCAATGTAAAATAAGTTCGGATTGGCGGGCCAATCTGTCCAACCCGCCAAACGAGGCGGGACAGACTGAGTTTTTCAACCCACTTTCAAAAACGAAACGAGACGGGGTGACTCATTTTTTGACGAGTTGAAGACGGAGCGCGGCGAGCCGCTCACTTTGCCACCTCTGCTCACAAGTCACAAAGATTAGATAAAAGAGGCACACGAGCAGACAAAATGGGTTGTGCGGCAGTTGTGGTGGGATCCATAATGAGCAAAACTGGTATTGATGACCACGAGCTTGAATGTGAACAAAATTTTGTCTACTTAATACGTGGTTAAGGATTCAAAGTCCACGTGACGAGTGGGAACCCCAACTTTCTCTTCATCGAAAGTGACACTAATTATGTAAAACAAAAAACAAAATGGCACCAATAATCGAGAGTAATTTCTATTAGTTTTACATCAAACGGTATATGCATGTTTATATACCATTAAACTATGGAATTTACATCTATCATTTAACATGACCATAACAACTTTCTTACACACACAACATTTTGTAGGACCCGCATGTTTTAAAGAAAAAAAAATTACGGCACGCAAAACGAATCTCTATAACATAACACAATCATTTTTCCTATAACATAACTCTTATAAAACCCTTAAATTATATTATATCCACTATAACATTAAAAGTATATATAGTTTAATCGAGAGATGGAGACTATTGACACAACACATTTAACCTAACAAGGATTCTTAGAAACACTTAAAACAGTTAAAATCTTCTCAAATGCTCATAAATTAACATATTACCATTTTTTTTCTTTCTCTTAGTTAGTTTTTAATTTTTTTTTATGTTTATTCTCTATCATTATGTGAGTTAATTAAAGACAAAAAAATAAAAAATAAATTTTAGTATTATTTGTATGAGATTTAGTTTTATGTTTTTCCTCTTATATATGACTTGAAAAGAAAATACGAGAATATCCGAATCTCCCTTAATACTTATTATTTTATTCGTCAATTGTTCTTCCTTGAAATCTATGAGGTGCGTGCAACGTAGGGTACTCTTCGCAAGTAATTTTTTCAAATTTAAAACTGCTATAGGATAATTCTCCTATAATCTACAACTCATCGTGCACTATAAGCTATTGTTACATTATGTATGATTCATTATTATTTTAAATAAATTATCTTTGATCATAATGATTTTTATTAGAAAAAAGAAATTAAATAATTATATATAATGTTATCCAAAATGATGTTAAAATAATTGAGAGGGGATAATTTGTGTTTGAGAAATCACTTCGACAATTCCATGAAATACACACCCGAAATTAAAACATGCAATGATACACATTTAAAGCGTGCTGTACGAAAATATATGAATGTGACAAGAAAAAATCTGAGCCAGTGATTGACACACTGTGCCCTTAAGACAATATTGCTCTCCCTATGGTGCCTAAAGTTTGTGAACAATTATTTCTTTGGATAGAACGAATTACCTCTATTCTGATGGTGGCACTTCCACTTTGAATAGCCTTATCATGTTGGGTTTGTGCTCTTTTACTAAATCTCAAATGGACTAAGAGTATGAGAAGAGCCAAAGAAATCTAGAGCCTATGAGCTTAGGGCTAGGATTTTTTGGAACCCTTATAAATACTACCACTTAAGTTATCAGCCTCCAAGGTTATTGAACAAAGAGATAAGCTCAGATTTGAAAAGGTGCCCACATGCTTCTCCTCCCCCCTCGAGAGATAGCTTGGAAGGTTTACCATAACAGTAGAGATCTGTTCGTGCTGTGACGCAGTAAAGATCAGTTCGTGAGTTCGTGTTGTGACGCAAAAGACTCTAGTTTGTGGAGCATCATCCCAGATCTGCGCTACAAGAGGTAATTGTAAACAATGATAATCCATTACATCCAAACTGCAATGGTCTAAACCTTATGCAAAATCAATTACTCTTACATATCGAACTCAACCTTTCTTGACCAATCACATTAGAGTAGAAGAATGTAAAATGCAAAGAATACCTCTACTTAAAATTCTGATTATCTATCTATTTATAGAAAATATAGAGTCACGATTGAAAAAACACTCATTCAAGGATGAAACAACACGTTCGTTAGGACTTAGCAACACATCCATTTGGCGATGAAACACATCCGTTCGGCGATGAAACGACACATCTTTTCAAATCAAACTTCTTATTCATAAAAATAATTAATTTTAAAATTAATTCCACAATATAATAATATTAATTACATAAATAAAGTGATATGATTTACTCCCTCTATTTTTACATAATTTTTATTTCAAAGTTTTAATTTGTTTCAAATTATTATTTTTTATTTCTTACTATTGGTGAACTAAAATAATATTAATTTAGTGAACGTATAATTTAGTCAAATATAATTATACTTTTCTAAGATTGAATATATTTGATATTTTTAATTCTCATATAAAATTTAAATAAAAATATTTTAAAACTGATAAAATATATAATTAAAGAAAAAAATATTTAAAATTTTAAAAGATATAACTTTGTATCATTTTAAGTGAAATAACTATGTTTTAATAGTTTCTCAATTTTTTACATTCTTTCTCCTCCATGATATTCTTTCTTTCTCTTCCCTCCTAATTTTGTGGAAAAGAGAGAATATAGAAGATTAACAAATATATATCAGATTACAAAAAAACAAAAACAAATATATATCAAAACATGATTAAAGGGCCGACCCAGTTCAAATACCCACTTCGTGAGTGTCTGGGGAAGGGAATACTCTAAGCAGTCTTTCCCCTGCTTTTTGCAGAGAGGCTGATCGAACCCGCGACCTGACACACCACGGCAAGCAAGCTTACCGCTGAGCCAAGCCGGCCCTTCATATCAAAACATGATTGTTTCATTTAAAATAAAAGTTAATTTTTTTAAAATAATTGTGTTTTGATGTGTATTTGTTGATTTTTTATATTCTTTTTTCTCATGATATTCTCTTTTTCTCTCTGCTCTTGATTTTGTGGAGGAGAGAGAATGTAGAAAATCAACAAATATACACTAAAACATGATTGTTTTATTTAAAATAACACAAAATTAAGTTTTTTAAAATGATAAATATTTTTTCAATAATTAAAAATTATTAACTTTGACCAGATATAAATAAAAATGTCCCACCAACTGGTGTAGGCATCTCGTTAATTTAATCATCTTCTGATCAACTTTAAGGTTGAAGAACACAAATTTAGAAAACACCCAAGGGTTCAAAGTCTGTCTCTACTTGAACTATGCATATTTGAATAATTTTCACTCTAGAACTGAATATAGCTGGTTACATCGCAGGGTCTCAATTAGAGCCGGTAAAATTGGCTCGGTTCGGCGGGCCAATCCGTCCAACCCGTTAAACGGGGCAGGGCGGATTGAGTTTTTTAACTCATCTTAAAAGCGGGGTGGACTCATTTTTTGGCGGGTTGATGGCGGACATAGACGGGCCGAGGCGAGTCATTGTAAAATAGGCTCGGGCTGGCAGGCCAACCCACCCAACCCGCCAAACGGGCGGGGCGGACTGAGTTTCTGAGCTCACTTTCAAAAGCAGGATGGGAAAGACTGACTCATTTTTTGACGGATTGATGGCGGAGTGAGGCGGGATCGGGCGGGCCGCCCACTTTACCACCTCTAGTCTCAACTAATCAATTGTCTCGAAAGTTTAAATTATTAAAGTAAATAAATAAATGATATTTATATATGTTTATATTATATTTTTAGTTTCCCCATCACAGAAGCAACCAATTACGGTAAAAATTTAAGTTGTTAGGAGGCGGATGAATAATTTTTATATTTATTATATTTTTAATCTTGAGCAATTCATTATATCAGTTTCAGTCATGATCTGGATGGGCAGGATGGCTATTCTTGTCTGGCCTTTAATGGAAACAATTAACTTATCGTGAGGTGATGACAATAAACGCTTTATAATAGTAGATAATGCCGTTTCTTTTTTTTATCCTTGCCAAAACACTGTTATATAATGTCATTTCAAGGGAAGAAACAAGTAACATGTGATGACGCAGAATACTATAGCTTATGGACACTTGGACAGGAAGATAATAATTGCATCGTCCATCCCAAATTCCCAGAAAACTATAATTTCATGATGACATGTAAATCAACCACATCCAATGTGGACGGGTAATGTTAAGCGTCACTAATCAAATGATTAGATAAATTTAAAAAATTAAAAGGGAAAATATTGTGATTCACCATGGAGCCTTGGGCTGTATTTGAATCCAAGCCTCAATTAAGTTGCTTTCTTTATATTGATCTCTGAAATTATAAATATCCTTTTTTTTCTTTTATTATTATTTTTATTTGCTTTATGATTGTCTTTGTTTCAGTAATGGATTGAATTGGCATGTGTGGTACGTAAATAATGGATCACTAACCAGATTTTTTTTGTCAACCAAAAATTTGTCCAATTAATGGATTGAATTGGAATGGGTAATATGTAAATAATTATTTTAACCCAAAAATTTAAGTTGTTTAGTGAAAGTCATAATAATGATTTTATA